ATAACAAAATAAAAGCGATATCAAATTCTCAGAAATCTAGGTTAAATAAAATCAAAAATGAGATTAAAACGTAAACCCTACAAACCTTGACCTCTTTTTCGTAACAATAATTTCTGTTGATGTACTTAACGAACGATACAAAACAAAAATTTAGATTATGAAAATTAATTACATTGAAACCGCCCTTGCCCATTCTAGTTAAGAATCCCAAAACTTCGTCCTGACTGGCGAAATATCACAGCAGTATTTATATAAAATTAATTATTAATCTTCACAGGAACTAGCACTATTAAATCGTTTGGTTATTCCTAAATTTTAACTTCTTTTTTGTCTAGGAGTCCACCTAGAACTAAATTTAAGGGCTTTCTAGGAAACTTCTTGCGAAATCAACTTATTTTTCGTCATTTGTTTATAGGATTTTTTCTACAGATCATTGCGCAGGTTTACTTCAAATCTACCTTGCAAATTTTAGTTAAAATTTTCTTGGAAACAATTTTTTGAAATCTTGCTAGAATTATGCCTTGAGGAATTTTCTTCTCATAAACCTTGTTATCTTAAAAAAATCACACTAGCTCTCTAATTTAACCGACTATGTCTCTTATAATAACGAAGTTAGCAATAGTGTCGACTTAAGTTTGAAGGCTCTGTATATATTGTAACATACATTTAATTACGTGCTTTATTTATTACTTACCATACATTTATAACAGTCTAAAAATGAATTAATTTAACAGTAATTATTATTTACCACTTACATAATTCAAGCGCATCGAAGTTATGGAACTGACACTACAATTTGCTTATACCGGGTGGTGCCTAGCGCGACGCAGCATAGGGATTTCAATGGTAATTTCTTTATAGTCAATTACTAGCTCCCCTAATTATTTTAGAGCAAAAGTTTCGAGAAAAGTTTAAATACGTTTTTTTTAGAGAAAAAAATACTGCATCGGTTCATAGTATTACATATAATTTTCCGTTTTTCAAAACCGTAGAAATCGACAAAATAAAAAGGTTAATTTTACAATAAATAAAATATGCCTTGGAATTACCTAAAAAAACAGCGATCACGTTTCATTATTTGCCTTTGACGTATATTAAATTTATACTTGTTTATAAATTAGTTAAAGAACTGCAAGTGCAATAACGTTCAAAATGTCCGTCGAAACCATCAGGTTTTTTCTTCGATTATGTAGGTACTCTGATTCCGGAAAATGATAAACAAATAGTATCTGATGCAGATGCAGCATTACATTCTCTAAAAAAAACCTTACCCCATGTTCCCATAGATGCCTTTTATTGCGACGGTTAGTTGAAACAGAGTTAAATATGAAAATCGTTCGACGTCAAACAACGATAACTTAGATGCGATGCGCTTGTAGTTTGTTAAAAGATTCCAAATCATCACTGATTTATAAAAATGTAATTTTTTATTTTGTCGATTTCTACGGTTTCGAAAAATGGAAAATTATAACTAAAAGTATGAACCGATGCAGTATTTTTTTCTCTAAAAAAAACGTATTTAGACTTTTGCTCTAAAATAATTAGGGGAGCTAGTAATTGACTATAAAGAAATTACCATTGAAATCCCTATGCTGCGTTGCGCTAGGCACCACCTTGTATAGTAAACGATAATTGTTCTAGAAGGGTTCGGAATGCTCTACAATAAACACGTCATTTTTGCCGGAAGGATTGCACCGCATCCGCCTTCGCTCTTATCGGCGATGACTAATATTTCATGGTGCCTCGATGTCTATCGGGATTTCTCGAAGGTTCTCTACACTGCCCCCTCTTAAAACACACGGAAGACGATGGTAGTGGAGACACAGTCCCAGGCAACTCTAGTTATGTAACTTGACGACGACCCCTTCGTGCATCTGTCATTCTTGAAGCGAAAGCAGTCCACCGTCTTCCAAATGGGTTCTTCTGGGGTTAAAGCAACAGACCAATATTTCCACTCCGGCGCCCTGGAATACCACCTCAGCATATTGCGCACGATGCGCCAGTCCAGCTTATCAAGGTCACATCCAGTCTTCGGAATTGTCAGCTTTGTAGCGCCATGGATTTGTAGTTACCGTCTTAAGTATTCCGAAGATCTTCGCAACCATGTCTTTTATTACCAGATAATAAAGAAATCGTCCCTGCTCCTGTAGGAAACACAAAAGTTTAACTACCGTCCTTAGCACAAAAAAAACACAAGGAGAAAGGACAAGCCTTATTTCAATTCTTCTAATTACAGGCGAAAGGTCATGTTCCTCTTCTCTTTTCACTTTTAAATGTTATTAAGTTTAAAATTCGCTATAATAAAATGTCTATAGTTTATACTTCTGTAGAGGAACACTTTATTATGTGTATTGACTTGTCCCATTTTCTGGACACATAAATCTATTATTATTAATATTAAAAGACGTTAATTAGTAAAAAAAAATTAGGTAGGTATTAAATCTGGAAGAGATTTTGAAGGCATTCGGTTTTGAGCGAACGGGAGTGTCAACCGGACAACCGGAAATACCTCGGTACATCTTGACATCCGTGGGTACGCAATGAACCTCAACCTCGCATTTTTGCCTCGAAGTTAACAATGTATTTCTTGTGGTAATAATTGTATGGTGACTATGCGAGACAATAAACGAATGAATTTGGTTTCAATCATAGTAAGCCATTGAATTATTGACATAAGAAATACATGTTAAACTTCAAGGCAAAAATTCAAGGTTGATTATCAAGTGAATTACTAAATGTTTAGTATCACTGGTTTTGTATTTTTTTTATCAAGTGACGTAAAAATTCAATATGGCGTCCATAAGAAATAACGTACCTGATGTGATTTACTCGAAACTCACAAGTCATAAAAATGTTATTTTATCCCATCAGAGAGCCGAGAAAAAATTACTATGGGTTCTTCGAAAATAAATGAACGCTAGCGCATTTTCGGTTTTTGGCCATTACTTCGCTACAAGAAACTATAAAAGAAAATTAATCATCATAAAATTCCGCATAACTTTGCCTATTTAAGCGAATTTGTATCTCTGATGGTTTACGAGATCCCCCTAGTGGAAATGAAAAAAAACTCACCCTGTATAGTAAACAATTGTTCTAGAACGATTTAAATGTTCTACAATAAACATGTAATTTTTCCTGGAAGGATTTTATCACATCCACTTTTGAGCTACTCACCGATGACTAATCTTTCAAGGCTCCTCGATGTCTCTCGGGATATCTGGATACCACCATTGGAGACATTAATAATAGAGTGAGACAATCCAAACTGTCGCGAGCCAGAAGTTCCCTTCCAATTCATTCAAAAATAATTTTGAAAATCGTCAGGATCAGTTTCATTGATCTCCTATATCAAATGCAGATGATTACATGTACCCCGTTTTTTGTATCACTCTTTCATCCATTTTCTGTTTTGCTTCTGCGAAAACTACGATTGACATTTTCGATTGCGACTTATACAGGTTGGGTCTAAAAGAGTCCTCTATTACGTAAGCTCATAGAAACGAAATTAAGTAAGAGGAAACTTCTCTGTTTATGAACCAAGAACACAAACTTCAGAAATGTTACACTGTTTTAAACAATACGTCACTCAAATGGGGTCCCCCATTCACGATACACATAATTGATTCGTTTTCTGAAGCTATCCAGTACCTACGCTATGTGTCATGTCGGGCCAAAGATACGTCCCCCACCACTCTATAGCCTACAATAGTGCCAACTATTTTAATCCCGTCCGACATGTATTTTTGGTTATTAAAACAAATCCCTATCATACTTAGTTTTGTTTTTATTAGCTTCTCCAATTTGAGAGTCCTTCATGCCCATCCTGTAGAACACGAACCCTTTTCTACTACAAAAATAACTTGCATGTTGTTTGGAGTGATATTTTTTTATTTGTGTGTAGGGTGGCAGTTACTTTAGACATGGCAATTCACTTGTCAGTTGCGGCGCTTGCTAGAACCGATAATGTAGGGCCTATTTAATTCAACAAGGCGAGAGGCGTGGGGACAAGAGCATTTGTCGTTTTATAATAATGATTATTTATACTAAATTTATGTTACATCAACGACATATAGAAATAGACTGCGCGTGCCAATGCTAAGCGCTGATACCGCAGGTTATAAAGAGGGGAAACGACGAGGCAACTCCATTGGCGATTCAGATTAAAACTAAAGGCGCTAGTGTAATTTACAAATGGCGTGTATAGTGGTAGCGGGTTGTAATCATTGGGCTATTCTTGTAGGTTTTTAAGTAAAATTGAATTTGGAGTATATCCTGCCGTTTTTGAGACTTGAAAATATAACTCCTTAATCATATCCTACTTGAAAGGCCCTTTTCTTAAGAATTCAACGCTGTCAATAACTCGCCGACATTCCCTTACGTCGATTATGCTTTAAAACAGTCTTACTATTCGTGGGATAATTACACTGACCACAAAATAAATAAAACGATGTATAGTGCTTATGACGATTAAAATTTTTCTTACTATTGGTGGTACAGCTCATTGCACGTAACATGCTTGAATGTAGATATTCCGCTTTAAGTTATGCTTACCGTGAGTAGCGCAATTACACCACAAATCAAATTTTTAAGAACATTGTGTTAAAGTGAACGTTATTATAGCGTATAGGACAATTTCTCAGTCTCTGGTTACCTTATCATGCCTCTATAATACATTTTAAAATTTCGTCGAACAGTGATAACTGCGTGTCCTAAGATTTAATATGAGTTGAATCAATTGGAGCTTTATTGGAAGCCAAAACGTGGTCTAGAGGATATATCATTAATTTGAGTGGGGTCAACCCACTCAAATATAAAGCTGGATTCACATGAATACGAAATCCGACGATACGGTCATCCGAAATGCTTATGATTGGTCAATGTCAAGCACATTTCAAATTATTGACCAATCATCAGCATTTCGGATGACCGTATCGTCGGATTTCGTATTCATGTGAATCCAGCTTAAGTCCAAAAATTTAAAGAAACACAATAACTGCAAGTCCTTTTGAGGTTTATTGGAGTTGAAAAGATCCATCTGTTAGCTGTGACAGCATAAAACAACATTAATTAGAAAGTTCTCAATCATTCAAAAAAGAAAACAGATCCTTCACTCATATATCAACGAATTTACGAACTCTTCCATGTTGTCCAGATTCAGCTCTTCTTTAAAAAAGTACCCCTCGAGGTTACCCTGAAAGTGTATATATCAGCATACCGGGTTTGAGATTGAAACGTACTTCCAGAAACCCAACAATCGAAGAACTCATAGCATTAAATCTAGTAAAAGTTTCTTCATTGTCTGTGATGGTGAAGGTAGGTGTTGCAAAATGATCCGCAATCTGTACAAACTTCTTAAATGTCGTAGACGATTGATTTTTAAAAAACCCGATGATGACATCTTCATTTTCAATAAGGGCTTCTGCTTCTTCGGTAGTGTTCAGTTGTTTCACTGCGGGCCGTGCCTGGTCCTTTAACCAGGAAATAAATGCTTCACACGTACGATTATCGCCTCCTTAAAAAACGAGAGATTTTCTATTTAAACTGAGATTTGCATATCTACGTCTTACCGTAGTATGTAATAGGTGTATTTCGTCTAAAGAGCAACAGTGTGGGATAACGCGTAACATTGTTTCTCTTTATCAGGTCTTTGTTTTTACTTTCCACTTCTGCAAATTTGATGGGCATTTGCAATTTGGAAGCTTCCTTTGCTGCTTTTGCGTACTCCGAAGCCATGTTCCTGCTGTGTACACACCACGATGCATCTGAAATTTGAAACGTTATAATTTCATTTTCGTTTCGTCACTCACAAAATTTTACAAAAACGTATTCGTTCCCGGATATGGTTTGGTCGAAATTGTTTTCGTTCAAAACTAGAATTTCATCTTCTAGTTCGCCACACAACCCACTATTAACGATGGTCGCGAAGAGGCACACGTATAATTTCCACATTTCAAAGTCTTTGTTAATCTATGCCTTGTAAGCTTAATGCAATGAGTTTTATGTATGGGAGTGGGACATTTCAACAGATTAGGGAAACTCTGTGATTGCTGTTGGGAGAATCGCGGGCAAGAGGTCAGCTTATCGCCGAGTTAACGGATAAAAGTACGTACCAAATGTCGCGAATCTAACTCCAATTAAGGATTCGAATTACGGATCCGAAATGATGATTGGTTTCACGAATACTTCAATCCAATCCTTTTCGACCTGGACAAGATTGGACGTATTTGGAGCGCGTGGGAAATAATCCTACTTATTTATTATATCGAAAAATTGTGCCGAGTGATATACATCGTTTGATAGTCGTGGAGGTCAAGAGAACCTTCAGTTCAATATACTGTAAGTACATAATAGGAGACGAAACATCTACAAGGCAGCAATGCCAGGCGGTAGCGGCATTAATGAATGCCACTAAATCAAGAAGAGTCAGCCAATCTATCAACTGTAACGTTCCGTTATCGTTAAATGTACCTATAGGAGTGTCTGACTGTATGCGCCTTCAGGGTGCGAATAGAGAATGTGATTTGGTACCATTGGGATTGAAGAAATTCCACTTTTTGTTAGAATGACAGGTACTAATTTTGCGAAAGGTGTTGAAATCTTATGAAATTCCTGAGGCATCAAGTTAAAATTGCCAATATGATTTATCTAAACGTATTAACCTGAATTGAGTTGTTGCTAATCTTAATCTAGGTAAGCATATTTTTCATATTTCCGCTCTATAATATTTTTCATTATTTATAGGTTAGTTTATATCACATGCTGCCGGCAAATCATCTATTCTCTATTGTATTAATATGAGAACCCAGCTATTGGGGTAACTCTTGTGTCGCCCAAATCAAGACCTGTCTCTCAAACAATTCCTGGGCGAATTCAAAGCCCTATTCCACAAAACAGCACAACAGCACTGTCACTAACAAAATCGCCCCATAGTGGCTAAGTTTGTAAGATTAGCTTTATAGAACGCCAATATATTACAATATAAAAATTTAGAAAGAGAAGACTTTCTAAATGTAAATATTATGCTAGTGACAGAAACCCACTTTACCGACAAAACTTACATAAAAATACCACACGTAGTATCCACACGGAACAGCACACGGTGGTTCAGCAATACTAACCGGCAGCTCTATGAGCATCTAGAATACAAAACAACAACAATCCAAGTTTCCCAAAAGCTTTCTACTCCAACCAATGTTTCGGCAATATACTGTTTATCGAGGCATAATCATACTCAGCAACTGTTCGAAAATCTAGGGCAGGCGGGGATTTGAATGCCAATCCAGTTGATTTATCTAAGTATTGGACTTGTAACTTGTAAAACCTGAATCAATCTTCGCCCTATTGCCACCTGGTATATATAGGAGTGTCTGACTGTATGCGCCTTCAGGGTGCGAATAGAGAATGACCACTAAAATCAATTTCGTAATTGGAATAAAACAAAAACCGCGTGGCTTCTAACGCCAAAGGCATTTTCGCCTCTGTAGACACTATGCAGAGACTCGTCCAAGACTAATGTGGTTTTTATACAATGCCAACATTTTTTCATTTTTTTGCCTTTTAGCCACTTTCGCTCAAATTGTGCGTTTTATTTCGTAAGATATTCCAATGGTAAATGTGCCATAAACAGTTACACGCGACTCTCAATGCCGTTCATTCAAGTTTTGCATAATCAACCTTTCCTAAATTTAATTTTTTGTAAATTAAGGAAGGCAATTTATGACGAAATCAAATTTGCAGTGTTGTATGAATGTACATCAGATTTCTTGTAACGTATATAAGACGATGCGAATCTTCCCTAATAAACCTTCATGCATGAAAGGAAAGTCGATATTTTAGCGCGTCATGTTTTCTTTAAATTTTCCCTCTACTCCGAAATTACATTTTTATTTTAACGATTCGTTTTTGAAAGTGCGTGGAACGCCAATTTTCGCCTAATAATCGATTAGAGCAGTTTTCAACTAAACTACTCGCGATGATGTCTATGAAGTTTATTTAGGGGTCGCGTATTTCTAAACGGCGGTAAACAATTTATTTCAAAAGGTGCCACCTTCGTATCGATCAACACGAGTAGGTAGCTGTATTTGAAGTACGGTAAATGCATGCGCTTGTGTGAAAACACGTACAGGGGATTTAATTACGCTTTGAATAAGCAGCAGAATTCCAAGTTTCTTTTACATTCAGCGTATAATTCCTTCGGTCTAATTAAAAACGCAGTACCCCGTAATTAATGGTGTTAATTATTAAGGTCTTTTTGCATTCGCCACTTGGATAACTGATCTGTATTTAGTTATAAATCCATGCTAAGTTCCTGCGTCTGTTCGTGAAACAAATTACTAATTTTCACGATTTTTTAGGGTGTTGACTTAATTATACTATTATTATTCATATATAATTTATATAATATATATAATTATTATAATTAATTATATAATTTTATTCAATCGTAGAACTCAAGAAACTGTGTAGGAATATCGAAGACATCGCAGAATTGACACAAAATTACCAACCACCCCCATGTAATTACCACCAATGTCTGGAAACATCTCTCGCTTACAGGAAACAACAAGTGAAAAAGTTTCCGTATTGCAAGTCAGAGAAGAAATAATTGAATGGAAATGCTGGAATTGCTCACATCATTCCCGCCAATTTACACAAGACGACATATTGCTATAAGTGCGGTCACCGACATGTAACTACACGACAATGTAAAAAATATTGAATGAAGTGGGAAAACAGAAACACAATACACGTTTACACACAAGCAATACAATAGCACATCACCGCCGCGGTCCTGGACATCGCCACAGGTCTCTGCTTCGAGCTCTCCCAGGAAATCGTCCAATTGCCCAGCCGGAAACAGAATCCTATCGATGGTATCACTCGCCCAATCCCCATCAGTATAGACGGTGACCGTGTTCTCGACTTTCTTGGACAGCAAGTACCAATCCTTGGTACCTTTCAGGTAACGAAGCACGTCCAGTGTTCCAATTCATAACACGCATTGAACTGACTTCGACAGCAATATCTGGACGTGTCATGGCGGCCAGATACTTGAGACTACCGATCAATTGCCGATACGGAACATTCGGCAGATCCCCTTCCGATTTCTCTAGGTTTATCCGAGCTTCTATCCACATACTTCTCTTGGTCCAAAGTTACGCACCCCTCACACCTGTTCGTCTTGATCCTCAATCCGAGGCAGTTGCTGATTTCACTCAAGTCCGATTGCTTTCAGCCTGTTCGACTCCTCAGAATAGATACTGACGATGAAGAAGTCATCTACGTGTAAGACGATGGCCATCGGCTTGTTCTGACCTTTCTTCACGAATACATAGGACTCGTTTTTGGATTTCGCATAACCATTCGATGCTAGGACCTTTTCAACTGCTTCACACCATACACACTTCTTGACTTTTCACCTAGAAGCCTTCCGGTTGCCGCATGCGGAACTATACGGTGAAAAAGGTTTAGATTCTTGATTCAGGAACTGCATCAGGCTGCGGCTCAGCCTCCACTGAGAGCTTTCATCTTCGTAGTTTCGCTGCAGATATTCTCTTCGCTGAGCGGAGCTGCGATTGTATTGACGGTCTGGCGTTCTCCATGATGATGACGTCTCTGCTAGTGCTGATAGTCTTCGGCTGCTCATCATACACCAGGTAGCATTTCATCCTTTCCGAGTATCCAACCCGAATATTCTGCGCCTTTTTGTCCCATTTCAGCTGTTTTTGTTTGGGAACATGCACCATTACTTTGAACCGAAGATTCGCATGTGACTCAGATCAGATTGCTTTCCATACGAAAGCTCATATGGTTTGCACTTGATTCCAGTCGTTGGAAATCTATCTTTCAGATAAACCGGTGTTGCTGGCTTCAGCCCAAAAGCACTTGCAAAGATTTGGGTCAAAAAGCAAGTACTTCGCTTTTTCTACCATAGATCTATTCATGCGCTCGACAACAACATTTTGCTGCGGAAAATATGCTGAACTCACCACCAAACTCGCCTCCTTTGTCCGTACGCAAAACCTTCACATGCTTGTCCTGGTGATTCTCCATTTCAGTCACGAACTTCTTGATGCAGTTTAGGATTTCAGATTTTGATCAAAGAAAAAACACAAGCGCCATTCTCGAAAAATTATTCACGAAAATTAAAAAAGATCGAGAACTACCAATAGATTTGTTCTCCAAGGAATCACACATCGGCATTGGTCAGTTCGAGCAATGCCGAATTTCGAGTACTACTGCACTGGAATGGCAGACGTGGTTGGTGCTGCCTACCCCATTTCATATATTTCGGCAATTCTGGACAAACTTAAAAGGGCACGATTCCTCAGTCCATAGACATTATTTCTGGCAGGTCAACTAAAGTGCCGGAAAATATACTGCATTCACAATCCCTGGGAGAGGGCTGTTCAATTCAAAAGAATGCCGTTCGGTTTAAGCAATGCTCCCGCGACATTTTAAAAACCAATTGATACTGTTCTCGGTGTTGACCTAGAGCCTCGAGTGATGGTATATTTAGATGCCACAATTGTCATGCCATCTACCTTCGACGACCATCTTACGATATTAGCGACGTTTTCGATCGTGGCTACCGAAAGCAGGTCTCAGAGTTCGTCGAAAAAAATTCAACTTTAGATTAACATAAGATTGATGATAAGAATCTCATACTAGCACCTTTAAGTGAACCGTTTATATCAGTAGGTGTACATAACCTAAAAATCAATATCACTAAAAGCAGAAAATGTTGTCTTACTACTCGAGCTCACGAAATCTATTAATTAAAGGTAGGTAGTGGAAAGTACGCAACTTACAGTGGAGATTGTTCAAGGATACTTTCTCCGAGTGTACCAATTAGATTATCCCTTAAACAAAACAAAATTTGAAAACGAAATTAACGCGTCCGCTCTCTGGAAGCTTTTCGTTCTTTTAAATTGCGTCAAAATGTTTACACGTTCTTTGATTAATCAAACGTTTAATTTTTGTGCAATCCGTTCGTCACATTTGCAGTGTCATATTTAAATCATCATCTGGGTTTAGGATGTTGCGGGCTGAACGTGA